GTGAGAATTCTAAACTTTCTCTTAACCGGTCCCAAGCTCAAAAAAAAGGAGGTAGGTTGAGTTAAAAAGATAGCCAACGTAAAATTTCGTTGAAACTTCTCGTGATAGCGACCCGAAATAATTGAAAAAAGGCTCTATTGATGATAATGATGAGCTCTCTCCCTTGTGACAAAAAACAATTTGACATAAATTTTTTACCTTCCACTAAGTTTCTATCCATCTATCTCTTCTCCCTCTCTCTCATATTTTACCTCTACTTGTGTTCTCTATTCGTTCATGGACTTGTCCAGCGGAACAATAACCTGTTTTGTTGGAACAAGCTAATCTCTCTCTCTTTTTGTGAACTCTCTTCCCTTCTCTCTCTCAGGAAAATCAAGGAAGGACTCCCTTCTACTATCTTTCTTTGTTAGGTTGAACTTTCGACTTTTGAAAATAAAACTTCTGAACATTTTAGCTGCGTGAGTTGGCATGGAAGGGGTGAATTGCATTCTCTCCCTCCTGTTGGGGATGTTGGTTCCAAAAATAGGGGAAAAAATGGAAGTTGCACCTTTCATATTTCCCATAGTACAAAAGCTTTAGAAGTTTTAGTTTCCAAGTCGAAACTTCTACCAAACAAACGCCTCCTTATAAGTAGAACTCCAGGACTCTCTTATCCTGCAAATTTGGTCCCATAGTGAATGATTTGGTCCAATCAAAAGCACTTTGACCACGTTTAGATTTTAAAGACATAAATAATAATAATTTAAAATAAAATTTATATTCCAAAAAACTTTCTCAACTCTGTTTAACCGGCCAAAATTAGAGAGTCGGACTAGCTAAAAGAGTCAAACACAAAATTTAACTGGGTTTAAGCTAAATTAAATTTTTACTTTACACAAACCAAAACTGCTAAATTAAGTTTTTACTTCAGACCAAACCAAAACGGTGGTCGTGATCCAATCTTGAAACCTATGAAATGGAGTAAGAAAAGCATTTGTTTCTATTTCTACGATACTGATTGATATTGAATAGTAAGCCACTTGAGGGGTGGAAAATTTTGGTACGTGGACTTCTTAAAGTGAATTAGTCATGTTTTTTGTCGCCTTTTAATGGTCACTCTACTTGGACCAGTGCGTGGATATGTATCAATAAGTATGAAAAAGACCCTGCCGGTTCGAGAAATAGTCAGAGACTTTTACTTTTCCAAAAGAAAATTATTTTGCTACGTCGATTTTGAGAAAAAAATAAAAAGAAAAATTATGGAAAATAAGAAGTCAAAGATAATGTGCTCCCGACATAGCATTTTATCTATTGTTAAAACCCAATCTAGGAGTATTTTTAGGCTCTCAAAGTTTTGGGACGCAATCTCTTCAACCTAGTGACCAAATAAAAGAAGAGAAAAAAAAAAGTAAGAACTAGAAGAACTAACCTCCTAAGATTTCAGATGATCAGGTTTCAGTGTTTTGGACTAAAAATTTATTTTTTTGAAATTGTGATTCTTAGGGGGATCAGTAAAATTTCAAAGAAAAATAAAAAAGTTATTTTTTAAAAATAATTACTTGTGATTCTTAAGCGAAACTTAAAAAGATTTCGAAGAAACAAGATCCTCCCAAATGGTTCTTTCACCCAGAGGGAGTAAAACATCGAAAATATTTTACTCCCTCAAGAAAAAGTAGGAGCTACAATAGAGAGAGAGAGAGTGATGAATTGAGAGAACTTACACCAATGATCCATGTTTGTTTTGTTTTTTCTAGGGATGTGTCCTTGGAGTACCTAAAAAAGTGTAAGGCAATGATAAGTGGAATATTGAAAGGGCTCTTGGAGGGGCTAGGTGTGGGTTTGGAAGAGGGGGCTTTGGAGGCATACATGGAGGCCAAGGCAGTGAACCTGAACTACTATCCACCCTGCCCTAACCCTGAGCTCACTGTGGGCGTGGGCCGGCACTCGGATCTGGCTGCCCTCACCGTACTGTTGCAAGATGAAATAGGGGGACTCTATGTGAAGGTCGACAAGGGTTGGATTGAGATATCTCCTGTTCCTGGTGCCCTTGTTATCAACGTTGGTGACACATTAGAGGTATGCAATCTCTCTCTCTCTCTTAGGTCTTTTCTCTCTCTAGCGCTGCAAGTAAGCTGGGCCTCGCCTGGCTCACCCTGTTGAGATCTCATATGGTCATATCCAACGGTCGAGAACTAGTTTTGCATTTTATTTTTTTATTTTTTATTTTTATTTAAATAATATATATCTGGATTTTGGAGTGTATGTGTATTTTTATAAATATAATTAAATAAAAATAATTAAAAATGTTTTTAAATATAAACGTAAAACCAAAATTTAAGATAATATAATATTTTAATAAAAAGTAAAAATAAAAAATGAGATTGATTATTGGCCCTTGGATGAGCATGGTTCAATCTGAACCATTAAAAGGTGATTGTGCACCTTTTAAGCGCCCACATGCTGTGGACACAATACCAACCCAAGCGAGAATTCTCGCAAAGGTGTAAAATAACTAAAACCATCCAAATTCAGGTGATTAGTCTTAATCTCACAGGAATAAACCTTCAGCTTCTTAAGACATTCCTTTTCTTTTACCAGATACGTGGCAGAAAAGATGTCTTGAAATCAACTTCAACACATGATTTGACATTGTTTGGACCAATTTGCTAGAATTGTTCGACAAAACCCATTTTTAATCCACACTGATATCACATGAAAAACACAGATACTGAGCAATGGGAGGTACAAGAGCGCAGAGCACAGGGTGATGGCAAGCGGAAGCAAAGAACGTGTTTCGATACCGATATTCGTGAGCCCGAGGCCTCACACCATGATCGGCCCGTTGCCAGGTCTCGTAGAGGACGGGAAAGCAGTGTACGGAAGACTTCTATTTGGAGAATACATGGCAAACTACTTTGGAGCAGGTCACCAAGGGAAGAGTTCACTGGACTTTGCTAGGATCTAGAACTATACACTAAGTAGAGAAGTGCCTTTTGCCAAGAGATCTAGAGAAGTATGGCGAAGCAAAACAATTCAGGGTTTTTGGCACTTTTGAATGGCATGATAGGCCCTATAATTTTGTTTTAAGATGTCTAATGGACCTTTTACTCATAATAAATAAGAGTTGAAGATGTTTTAAAGCTTGTTTCATCTTCTTCACCTTTAATTTATCCTTGACAGAGAAATGAAAAAAAAAAAATTTTGATTTTGGCCATGGATGTGTCTGTGTTTTTATGTATGTTAAAAAAAAATTGAAATAAAAAGCACCCAGAAAGCCCAAGTCTCTCTCCCTCTTCTAAGCCCTCTTGGCATACAACTGGGGGAGGGATAAAGGACTAGGCATTTCTATAAAATCAGCACAAAAAATAAAAAGTAAAAAACATTAGCTCAAGGATGCCACACAAATGAGAGGTTTATTTCTGGGGGGTCTTATGCAAGAATATGGAATCTGTGTCATATAAGCACCACCAACCGTTCAACCTTTGAGCATGTATACTGTGCTGTTGCGGTCACTCGATCAGAAGACGCGGAGGAATTTTTCGATTTCAAATTTTGCGAATTACCTAAGAATCACTGGGTGATTATTTTCAAAAGAAAAAATTTAAATTTTTGGCTGATTATTTTCAAAAGAAAAAATTTAAATTTGACTTTCTTAGTACTTAGATCTCACCCTCCAAAAGTTCAGGGGTCTATTTAATTTTGAGATATTATTTTTTTTCAAGTGCAAAGAGAGTGCGATTTGGATTTTTTTTTTTTTATTGACGGTAGTCTATGGGCTGAAGAGATTACATCGGTTTCATCCAAGGAATTAAAGTAACAGTAATTCCAGTGGTACCATCAAATCTTTTTACCTCACCCTTTTATCGATGACAAGCAAACATTCCTCTTCTGAAAAGGACGTAGCATTTACATATACATTTTGGGCCTCTCATAAAGTAATTCAGGGTAGTTATTTGGGTTAAGAAAATGGTAACTAAAGAAAAGAGGAGTATTATTTTTTTATCGAAAAAAGAAGAGAATATTGACACAGAAAATAATGCACAGGGATTAGTACATAGAGACCTCTCGGTGATTTTCATATTACAGAGAGCAAAAGCATAAGAAATTAGTTGATCTAACTAATGTGTAACAAGTTTTGTAGCAAATATAATAGGGAAATTGTTTATATATGTGGTCAACCTTGTATTATTAAAGAAAGATACATCTCAAAAATCCTCTAAAAGAGATGTTTCGATGTTGGAAAACCTCCAACTGATCGTCTTGATCTCAAGATATATGGATATGATGAAAAAAAGAATTTCAAATTGCATCTTGTACCACCGTACCTAGACCTATAATTTGCAAGCTTTTAATCAATTTTCTCGATCTCTAGCATTTTTAAAATTTTAAGTTTAGAGAAGAAAATAGATTTTCAAGCCATCATTAAGTTTACTGCATTAGAACTACAACTCCATGCAAATTTCAAAGGTGGCTCACTTCCACATTATAAGAAGGACGCCTCATGTAAACCTCACCCCTAGAGGCTTCTTCCAAAGAATGCCTATATTGTGTGCCTGCTAGAGCGTATTGTCCAGCTACTCCCTTGGGTAGAAAACCTGCTTGGGAGGCTTTTTTTTAATCTAAAATTTTGAGAACTACTTTTTGTTCTGCCATGATGCACGAATATTACGTTAAATTTGCAAGAACCCATGGTGATTGTGGGGTACTAAATTGTGTATTTGGTCCTGCAGCCAAAAGCACATTCTAGGACGTATTTCTCTGGGACCTAAGACATTCTCAATATACATTTGATGCATCCCAAGACCAATCCGTTTAAAACAGCTATGAACCCAAATTTCCTCAAATATGATGTCTATTGAGATGCAATATAGAAATCGATTTTTATCTGGGTCATCGTGAGCGTTATGTACAACATTTTTTGAGCGAACTAATGGATGTAATTGTTTATGATAGACTGACAAGCCCGAAGGCATATTTTGGTTAAGAGCACTTCAAGTGACCTATATCCTTTTTCATCGGATCAATTTCCAATAAAGAAATTTGATTTCGAGAAGGAAATTCCTCTTATGGATGTCTTATCAAATTACCTATATCCTTTTCAGTTCATCGGATCAATTTCCAATAAAAAAATTTGATTTCAAGAAGGAAATTCCTCTTATGGATGAATTTCCAAAAAAGAAATTTGATTTCGAGAAGGAAATTCCTCTTATGGATCAATTTCCAATAAAGAAATTTGATTTCGAGAAGGAAATTCCTCTTATGGATGAATTTCCAATAAAAAAAAATTTGATTTCGAGAAGGAAATTCCTGTTATGGATCAATTTCCAATAAAGAAATTTGATTTCAAGAAGGAAATTCCTCTTATGGATGTCTATCAAAATGGAGTGACCTACATCCTTTTCAGTTCATCGGATCAATTTCCAATAAAGAAATTTGATTTCCAGAAGGAAATTTCTCTTGTGGATGTCTATCAAAATGGATGGTCTAGATTCAGTTTCTGAAGGAATTTTAATATGATTGATATAAAGATTCAAGGCATTCTATAGTTCAGCGGGGAAGACAGGCCCTACCTAATTCAATAGGGACGACAAGCCCTACCCGCTTGTTTAAGTAGATTAGGAGTTAGATTTTTTTTTGTTTAAGTAGATTAGGATTAGATTTTTTAAAGTGTCAATGAGGTGATGTTATTGATAGAAATGGAAACCACAATGTGACGACTAGGTGTGAGGATGTTACCACCACGACCCTAGCCCCTTTCCTATAGAGCATGTGATTTACCATTCATATACTTCCTAGTTGCACACATTCTGATGTGAATCATTAAAGTAGAGGACCCCTACTCATTTTATGATGGTACATTAATCAAACGAGAACCTTTAAAGGGGAAGCGCGTTACATCAGGAAAGAGAAGCAGCATAAAAAATTGCGTTACATCAGAAAAGAGAAGAAGCATAGCAGACGTCTAATACACCATATTGATGCCTCATTCAAGAATGCGCTATGACCTGTTTGTCAGCCACTTGATTGGCATCACGATAATGTGTTACAGACCAACTAACTCCACGAAGCATCCATAGGTCATTATTAAGAGGAGTATTGAATTGCCGTGGAGGAGAGACTACTTGTTATAGATTCAACCATAAAGCCAATCCCAAATAATTGGGAAAAGGATATGATGATGATAGCGATGAGATTCAACCACGAGTTTGGAATCACTTTCAATAAGTAGATCAATATAGTGTTTCTCTGAACCAAATCAATGCCACTCTCCAAATCCTTAATTTCAGCAGCACTATTCAAGTCTGTACCACATGACAAGGCAAATTCAGACAAAAATATCTCACTGTGATCACGAAAGAGACCCCCACTACCCGCTCTTCCTAGATTTCCGAAGGCAACTCTATCAATAATCAATTTGAAATATACTATCCGGAGGTGCACTCCATTGTACATGAAATATCTTAGAAGAAATAGATTAGAGTCACTTAAACTTAAGGTTACTAGTAATCACTGGTGGGACCTCCCTTTTTTCACATTAGCCATTACGTCTTTGAATGATATGACACATTGTTAAATGCACTTCATAACCGTACAACGGCCTTCCGACATGCGCATGTTCCTTTCTTGCTATAGGAACCAAATAGTAACCAGGAATAGGGAAAATCCAAACATACGACATTCCTAGTGACTTAAATTAAACCCCCTCCATTTCAAGAAAGTCACATCCTCAACAAGAAATGACCTTCCACACCGAACAGTAATAGACCTCCTTACTAACTTTGGAAAATGACAGTCAAGAAGTAAATGGTTAGCTGACTCTACATTCTTGTGACAAAAAAGGACATCAAGATACTAGGATAGATAGCCCCACGAGTAAGCAAAAGCTCGGAGGTTGGTAATCTCACATCTAAAGCAAGCCATGAGCACTTGGCCCTGGATGAGCATGTGCCTTCCAAACATCCATAAGGCCACTTGAGTCATGTTGAGTTGATCAGGTTAAGCTGTGGCAGATGATTGAAGGGTCATGTCATAATAGATCACTTTACTTTATAGATTGAACTAACAATAAGCTTACCTTTGGGGTTGCACAGCTAGTTTTCAGTATCGTTTGTCAGTAGTTGAATTGGTGTAATCTGTGGTAGAGATCAACAAAGCCATCCGCTCCATCGTCATAAGATCTCCTATATCTAAGTTGGATGGACTACTCGTTTTCTTGTTCTCTCTTAGAAACAGTTTCTTCTACAGTGGCAGCATGAGCAGCTTAGGTGAAAAACTCTGCATATTGTAGTTACTCTAGCAGTTCATGAAGCCATTTGTCCTTCCAAAAGCAGTAGGATGTGGATGTATCTGGTGAAGAGAAATCAAGAAGCATCAATTCCTCTTCAGATGCCTAATATGCAGGGCTAAGTGCCAAAGCTCCTGAGTAAATGACTATTGCAATCAGCCCAGGTGTTGTTTTTATACACACTGCCATCATCACAGGGTCGGTAGTGCTCCATTCATCAGCATTAGCCACTAGATTCCTAGCCTACCTTCTCGTTTTTAGGTGAATACTTTGTTGTATCTCACCCGGTTGAATTTTTTCTTTTATCGACTCCCCAACCAACCCCACGTCCCAAGCCTGGATTCTAAATTGGGACATGCAGAAGAGTAGAAAGTTTACTAAGGTTGAACTTATGAAGTATAATCCTCCTTCTAAATTGGAGGAATTTCAAGTTCCATAGATCTAGTTTCCTCAAAAACATATTGATAACACCATCCCAATCTGATCTCAGCACTTTCCAAGCAAATAAAGGTCGGCCCAAGCTTTTGCAAGGGAGTTCATCAACCCTGCAGCCCACACTTTGAAATTGCTGAACATCTTACAGTAGGGTACTCTATTAGCTTTGTCTTCATCTTCTTAATCCTAAACGCAAGAAACAGCTTAAAACAAAGAAGAATAGCCAAGGATCCCACATTTATCCATCAGATGATAGCAAAATTGAAGTGTCATCAGTGTGTTACATATGCATCACTGTTGGTCCTCGCTGTTTGGTGAGTGCATCATTCTGCCCAAAGATTCAACTAGAGAAGAGAAAAGGGGACAATGGTTTCCCTTTATACCTCTGGTGGATATGAAAAATCCATTCTTACACCAATTGATCAATATA